ACAACAGACAGAGCTGGAGATCCTTTGTTGCTGCCCTAAACGCCAGATGGCGTAATGGGTAGTAAGTAAGTAAGTAAGTAAGTATTCAGATATAGCCTCTTTCTGGTATGAACTTACCGCATAGATATTGATGTCGACTTCTGATACAAGGGACACCGCTGTTTCATACTCGATGGAACATTTCTGAGGTTAAAAAAAGGGGATTAATTTTATTTTGCTTTAAAAAAGAAAGCAAATAGTATTTAACTGAGCGATAATCTCTTCTCTGTCATTCTCTCCCTTCTTCCCATCCTCCCTTCATCATTCATTCCGTCCCTCCCCCTCCCCCTCCCAATCCCTCTTTGCCTCCTTCTTTAGCTCGGTACCATAGGAGATCGGCGTTATATCTAGATACTCTGCATTTATAAAATACTATACAGTATTTACTGGGAGATAATCTCCTATCTCCCTCACTCTCTGCCTCTACCCCCTCACCATCCCCTCCTTCTCTCCCCACCCTCTCCTTCCGTACGCTGCCCGCCTGGGTCGAAGTAGTGCCCTAACTTGTCAATATCCAGTTTGCGAGGAATCAATACGCTGGTAAACCCCCGCCTTCCATCAACGTTTGGATAACGAGCGCAGAAACATGGGGCTTTCGCATGCTCGTGGCTGAGAGCGTTGGCTCTTTGGCCATGTTTGCCGATAAGTTGATTTTTTACGCTCTTCGCCAATACGACTAGGAAAAGGTCGCCATCCTTCCGTTTTATGTTGTGGTTTTTGTTTGTTTTTTGACCTAGCTAGGCATTCCTTGCCCTACTGCGTTTTCTTCTTAGATACTTAGATCTACATTTCTGATTTTGCTCAGATGATGCCCATTTAAAAAAATTTTCCTCTTTTTTTTTTCTTCTTTTTTCCCCATCTCCTTATACAAGCTTTTCATTATATAAAAAACCCACCGCAAAAAAGAAAAAACAGAAAAAAATATCGCTTTATCCGCGTTTCCCCAGTTGTGACGTTGCTTTCAGTATTAGTTTAGCTATTTCTGTCGTTCTGTCCGAATATTTCGACCTCCAATCTTTCTATTTCAGTCTGTTTGTCTGACTTCATGTCTGCTATTTAATGTCTCCTGAACTTTCCTCTGTAGCAATTCTATTATTCTGAGATAAATAACAGGACAGTTAAGTGTAGTTTTAGTAGAGGTTTTACGACGCTTGCAACTGCTTAAGGTCACATTTGCGCCAGAAGATTAGAGGTGTTACAAGGGAGTAACAAACACAAAAAAAGAAGGAGGAGAGACAAAGACGATAGATGTTCCATAGGAAAGAAGAAGCAAACGACACCAGAGCATCCGACAAAACAGGACAACAATAAAAAATACTTTCCAAATGTTTCAAAGAATGGATGGAATACTTTTTAAAAAGCGTTAACTGATTCAATGCAAGTTTCACAACAAGTTAACAAGATTTTTTTTTTTATTTCAAAAGTTCGGCGTAACATTAACCTCTTTTGTAACCCTCAGCTTGTCCACATTTTCTGGTCTTTGTATTGAAAAAAAAAACAAA